GCAAAGATACACTTAAAGAATTGTTCAACATCCTTAGCTATCAAGGAAATACAAGTCAAAACAATTCTGAGGAAAAAAATCCTCCAAAACGACGCCGGAGGCGAACTCTCCCGGTTGAGACCACACTCTCCCTGCTAGGATCCCTCCCTTCGCCCAAGCAGCCACCTCAGCTACTGCCCTAATAGGGCAGGGGAAGGAAGAGACACTGGGGTGTCACAGGTTTTTCCCCTCCGCTCAGGGGGTGGCCACTAACCGAACTCCCCCATTGCTTCCTTGCTCCCTCTCTGACCAGAGCGCAGGCAGCGGGCAACAGAAAGTTCTGCAATGGGTCCTGTAGGCAGTGGCTGCACAGCTGCTGCTTCGGGGGACCCAAGGCACCACTGAGAGGGCTAGGCAGCTTGTGAGCATCGGGGCAGAGCTGGCAGGACCCAGCTGGAGCCTCAAGGAGCTCAGAATGTGGGGGTTGGTGGAGAACTAACTGCCCTTCCAGGGTCACAGCTGACAGGTCTGTGGGCCCAGCCAGGGCATGGAGTCACTTTTAGTTTGCCACTCTCATGTACTTAAAAATCTGAGATTGCCGGGCGGTGGTGGCGCACGCCTTTAATCCCAGCACTCGGGAGGCAGAACCAGGCGGATCTCTGTGAGTTCGAGGCCAGCCTGGACTACCAAGTGAGTTCCAGGAAAGGCGCAAAGCTACACAGAGAAACCCTGTCTCGAAAAACCAAAAAAAAAAAAAAAAAAAAAAAAAAAAAAATCTGAGATTAACAGCAATCTTTTGTCCCCATGGTGCATACCTTCCCATCCTCTTCATCTCCCATGCTGTTGGGTGGGGCTGCCAAGACCTGCCCTAGGGCTAAAACCTGATCAGAGTTTGGCTCCAAGAATAACATGTCACTCCCTATATGGGTTAACCAACAGTTTCTTGTCTGTGGTACAGTACTGATGCAAATTTAGATTTCTAGATTACTGAGGGAAATCACAAGAGAGACTTTGGTATAAAAGGTTGTAAAAGGTCAGTAAACTGTTTGTCATGGTTTCTTATACCTGCAAATACTGAATTTAAAAGTTAATTCTGGTTGGTTTTCATCTTTAAAATGGCTAATGATTCTGCAAACTGCTTATGTGTGTATATGGACAGGTATATGACTTGGAAATGTAAGCAAGCTTTAACTGTATGCATGTATGTAACTTGGATCCAACTGTGTGTATGTGTGCAAGTAATTATTGCTTTTTTAAATATATATATATATATATATATATATATATATATATATATATCACCTAAGTACTTATGTCTTTACCAAGTGTTCAACAGCAAGTTTCTAAAAAATTTAAATAGATAACAACATATGTTTGATAAATAAGATATTTTAAATGCTTTTACACAGAAATATACCTTGCTCTGGCAGCTAAACTTTGTAATTTAAGATTTACCCATGTAAAATGATAATGATTTTAAAGACATAAAAGGATCATAGGAAACAGCTGAGGTTCCCAAATATATGGCAGGACTAGAGTTCCAAAAAGAGTCTGGTTGCAGTGGTGGACCTCAGCAGTTTTAAAAATTGCCAGTGTCAGGTGATGATCACTGAAAGCACCAGCCATAATAAAATAGAGCAGACAGGCTATGTATGTGCTGCCAAAGATAGGGTCAAAGAAATCATCCAAGCCTCTAAATAAAAGAACCAGAAAGATTATAAATAAATCCCAGATATTAAACTTTGGGATTGTTTGTACTCTGGAGCTTGGTTTTACTTTACACAGATTATGATGATGCCATGTTTTCTCCTCCTTAAAGTAAAAAAAAAGGTAATTTATTGTTATTACAGAAGACATTTGAGAGATCTTAATCCTTTAAGAACAGTTTTTATACTTAAAAACCAATGACTTAAAAATGTTTATCCTTACCCAAGGTACATTCAGGCTTAAGAATGTTGTCTAGCCTCCTTGTATTTGCTAAGTTTGTTAAACTTAAGTTATTTGGATAACCTGTTACATATATTGATATTTTGTTTTGGTTTCTTTACTGAACCTGTATTTGATGCTAGAAGAAGCTTCAACTTAAAAGCATTGTTTTTAATAGTTAGTCATGAGTAATCCAGTTTCTTTTTAATTGTAGTCAGGGTGAATAAGTACTGATGTAATATTACAGGGATAAGTTTACTCATTTACTCAGTCCCTTGCATATGTTTTCAGGGTTGAGCTTGAAACAAGTAATTAGAAACAAAATTTGTCTATTCAGACACCTGGACAGCCCTCATACTTCAGAGATCTGCAGAATATGGCATTTAAATGTTGATCTAAAAGTTTATTATATCAGACAGGCTTCCAGATCCTAGCAGTGACCCAAGGTCTCCGAAGATTACGTACGAGGCAACACAACGTCTCTGCCTGGATTATGACAACGCTGACCACAGGGCAAGATGCCCCAATGCAACGCCTGCCGCCAGGACCCAGCCCAGACTATGGACAAGCAGTAGGACACTAAAATTGATTACACCCTTTTGCCTGATCAAGGTCAGTCTTCTGTGTCCCTATTCCACAGGAAAAATACTCTGCCTTATGGGCCTGATGGCGGAAGAAGATTGATGCTGTTCTGACTGATGCCTCCAACGTTATTGAGACATGGGTAGGGATTGATCCCTGTAATTTACAGGATTGGATGCTTCTTGGTCTGCACTCAGATATAGTTTATCCTTTTCGGATCTCTGACAGTACTGATGGCTAGGCTAGCTCTAACTTTGTTAGCATGGCAGCATCAGACAACCAGATCCTTCTGCAAGGCCATAGCTAGGTTGTTAGCTCACTTTTAAAAGAATGTTCTAAGATACAAAAGTTTAAATAAGTCATGAAGGTTCAGATATGAGTCTAAAATGAGATATGTTTCAGATTACTCTCCTGTTCTATGGTTCAGAGCTTAACATTTAGGAGTCCTGATGAGCTGGTAGAGCAATGACTACTTGCTGTTCAGTCACAAGCTCAACATTTTAGATTTGTTTTAGATGTCATCTAAATATGTCTAAATAAAAACCTAAAAATACTTCTCACCAGGCCAAAAATCTGTCCAACTTATACCTGGCTTTCTGGACAGAAGAAAAATGCCCAAATCTGTAGTTCTTGTTGGGACTCAAAGGTATGAGTCCACTTCTGCTGTTTTACAGATACCCATTACCTGTTTTGTCTACAATATGGATTTCAGTACAGACTGGTAATACCAATGTATCTAAAACTTTTATGTCATTTTGTAAGTAGGCCTCAAAGGATTAAAAGAGTCATAAAAACCTAGACCCACTTCACAGAGGTCGAAAGGACCCCAGATGAGGATTCCTAAAGATGGTATTTTTCCTCTCTCCTGGTCTTGGGACTACTGCTTTTCCCATTACTAAGGGTATGGACCTAAGGGTTTCAAATAAGTTCATAAATTTTAACTTCTGTTCCTAGTTTAAATTTGTCTCAACAGATTTCTACTTGGCTGGCAGACACCTCCAAGTTTCAGTTTCTGACTCCACTGCTCCAGACAACTGTGGGCTCCACACTTGCTAAAGGCTAACGTGGACCAGCCCAGCTAACATGATTCCTCCCTGTCCCTATGGGGTCAGGCAGCTACATGCTAATGACAAATGCCCCCTGCCCAGTCTTTGACTAGCTTTTCAGCCTTTTTTGGGGGGAGGGGGCCCTGACAACGGCATCCCAATGCCAGCTCGAAGCAGTTTCAGAAAAGAATACGTCGTCCCATATTCCTTGTTCAGAAAAGGCTGAAATGCTGAGTCAAAAGAAAACTCCCTGGCATAGAGACAAGATGGCTAATTATACATGGACTATGCATGGCCATTACAGGCCATGAGTTAATGTAATACCATAATTTTAAGATTAAAATTTGCCAAAAGGAAAATGGGGGAATGAAAGACCCTAAACCTTCAGGCTTACACCCCCAAGCCCCAAGAAATGAGGAACTAAAAATCTAGTTCCAAGGGCAAGCTGACTCAGCCATTGTTCAACCACCCCTGCCACAATGTAACAATGTAAAAAGATTTCTGTTAAGAGATGTGCTCAACTGTGACTGGGATAGTTGCAAGTGTTCCAGGAAGGACTGCTGTGACCTTTGTATATACTCCACTCCCACCCTGATACCCCCCTTGAGGTTTCAGGAAGAATGTGCATGCAGACGTGACTGTACCCACTCTGTGATCACCCTGTGATCAGGCCATGAAATTGTATGGGAATTGTAATCTTGTGGGTTTTGTGGGTTTTTCCTTTAATAGCACCCATATGGCTGCGGTAAGATGCGACTCTTGCTCTCAGGACAAGAGCAGCCCGACTGTACAGTCGCTTCAATAAAAACCTCTCATGCTGTTGCATCAACTGGACTGGAGTCTGGGTTCTTGGGGCGCCCACTTGAGACCCTAGATTTTGGGGTCTAACAAATGACAGAACTGTAAAGAGCAAACAGACAGTGATGCAGGGAAGCCTCAATGTCCACCATTGAGAAAGATGACCATGGGCTGGAGAGATGGCTCAGAGGTTAAGAGCACCAACTGTTCTTCCAGAGGTCCTGAGTTCAATTCCCAGCACCCATATGGTGGCTCACAACCATCTCTAATGAGATCTGGTACACACTTCTGTGTACATAATAAATAAATAAAATTTTTAAAAAAAAGAGAAAGATGACCATAAGCACCACAGAAAAACAAGAACAACTAGCAAGCCTTCTTAGAATCATCCATATAAGAGCAAAAGATGCCCCGTCTTCTCAAACTTCAACCAGCATACTACACTGTGGTCCTGTTAAAAATAGAACAGGTCAGTTCAAGACCAGCCTGGTCTACAGAGCAAGTTCAAGGACAGCCAGGACTGTGATAATCTTGAGATTATTCTCAGGGAATTTTCTATAATCATTTCTAAAACGATAGAATGTGGCAAAACCAATTTGATGTCCTGTTTATACTGTTACTTGTGCAGTTCCCCATCCCTTCACCCCTTCCTCAGACCCTCTAACATACCTGGATCCTTTGCTAACGTCTCTCCTTTCTTCATCATCTGTGGCTCTTTGTTCTGCTTCATGGGGGGGCAGGACAGACCGAGCAATGTGAGACCTGCACAGGAGAAAGAGATTCCTCAGAAAACACCTAGAACTTTTCATGAAACAAAAATGAAAGATGCTAACAACTCCCGAAAGAATAAAGAGAAAAAATATCAAGAAAGATATCTTTCTTTCTCTGAGGATTTCACTTTACTCTCTGAGATTGAGACAAGCGATGATATGGGATGGAACAAAGATGTGACATAAGAACACAGCATATGAAGACACATTTCTGAATGCTGTATTTACATCCCAGACTGCATACATCTCAGATGGAAAACTAATGGGAAGTAAAAGGTTGCATAATGTCTACAACCATGTGTGAAATTCTATAAAATATATTTTCTGTCTAATTATATCTGCACTGGTTCCTCATGTGATTACTACCTACAAAGCTCTCTGAGGATGCCTAGTCTCAGTGACAAAGGCCATGCTCTTGAAGAGGCAAATTATAAAACAGGGGAGTTAGAAAGCATGGATGAATTTAAATTTCAGGAGCTTTGGAACAGTCATTATAGCAAAGAGAACCCTGTTTGCAAATAATAGAAAATACAAAAACTCTACTAGGTTATTTTACAAATTATTTTATGACAGTCTGGCAACCATCAGATAAGTGAAAATAATCATGATAACATCCAATTCCTGGGATCTCAAACTTAACTGACAACATAACAGACCCCCCCAATTTCCAACCAAATATCTGGAATTATAATATTAGCAATACTGACTTGGGGAAAGACATTTCAGAACTCAGGATTTTGAAAGGAAATGGATGTCTCAGGAAGTCAGTGGTCATTCAGCCCATTAACAGCCTAGTGATGAATCCACCCTGTATTATACAGATTTAACCACTAGATGGTGAAATTGTGGTTTTACTAACAGAAATAAGCTTGTCTCCTGGAAAGCATGCTAAAGGTGGATTTATACAAAGCACAGAAAATTCCTTTTGAAAACTCAGTGATGAATGTAGAAACTTGTGGCTATCCAAGATGCAGAAAATAAGCAGTGTGTATGGCCACAGACCTAAACAAGTCAGTTATACCATGCCATCTATGGCTCTGGGAATACTGAAGAAGAGGAGGGAAGAAAATGAGGGTAAGGAGGGGAATGGGCATTACCTGCCAATCTCCAGATTCAACACAGCTGTTGTAATCAGTAACCCAGAGCAACTGTACTCACCTGCACTGGGCTCAGTCAAGGCCAGTTCTAGCCACAATCAGTCTAGGAAGGGGAGACTCACAAGGCCCCAGCCTTTACCTCTCAACTGTGGCCATGGATAGATTTTAGGAGAAGGGGAATCACTGTCTTTAGTTGTATCTCCTCTGTGGAATCTTCCAACACATAATTCGAAACCCACATTCTCAGAGATGGTTCTGGTTAATATTGGTGGGTCAAAAACAAAATGAATTGAGAGAGACAGAGACAGAGAGAGATTAGTTGGAAATATAGAACAAGATTGTAGGGAGTTGGGGATGAGAGTGTGCACTATAGGAAGTGTTTCAAGTAAAATGGCAAGTAATAACATTCTTAATAATATTTAAAAAGATCACAACAGTATGAAATTTCATTTTCATGTCTTTATCGGGTTTGGATACAGGGAATATTAGATTCATAAAGAGTCTGGAAGCCTTGCTTCATTTTTACATCTAGGAATACTTTAAGCAGCTTCAGTATCCATTATTCTCTGAAGTTCTGACACAATTCTGTGATGAATCAATCTGGCTCTCTCCATTTTCTTTGAATCAGGTGTATTAATTGCTGCTTCACTGTTGATGCTACTTAATTATCCATTTCTTTTATGCTGCTGTAATTTTGGTATGTGTATGAATCAGGATATTTGCCCATTTCTTTTAGCGTTCACAATAAAGTTGCCTAGAGGTGTTTAAAGTCAGGAGACATCAGATATGCTTGAACACTTGTATCTATTGATTAGTCTGTGCATTTGGATTGGGGACTTCTCAAGTCATCTTGTCAAAAAATCCTGTATACACAGCTATCAGGAAGATCCTAACTAAATCTCCTTGGTCATAGTGCTTTAGGAAAGCAACAGACAAGAAACAAATATAGGAAACCATTTTCTGCTGGATTTAAGGTTCCCTTTCAGAGAGACAACGTATGTCACGTTCTAAAACCTAATCAAGAACAGGTAGTATGATAGATCATGAGCACCAAAGGGGTCCATTACTGGCTTTTTGTCTAAAAGGTCCTCATGGCAAAAAAAATTTTTTTTTTTTTTGGTTTTTCAAGACAGGGTTTCTCTGTGTAGCTTTGTGCCTTTCCTGGAATTCACTCTGTAGACCAGGCTGGCCTCAAACTCACAGACATCTGCCTGGCTCTGCCTCCCGAATGCTGGGATTAAAGGAGTGTGCCACCACCGCCCGGTGCAAAATTCCTTTTTAATTGTTGCTTATATTAAAAGTAAAGTGCTTCACTCAGCCTTCATCAATCAATCTTCTTACTGAAGTGTCCAGAAGTTAGTACAGAAAACAATACTCAGTCATACTGAGATATTAAATGATGCCAGCGTCTCGTAAGTTAAGTGGAAAACCGATATTGTGATGACTAGATCAATCTGAGGCTTTTCCTGAGGTCCTGGTGTATGGAGAAGGAATACCATTCTTCCTCAGAACCCAGGAATATGCCTGGTGGAGCCAATAACAGCATTCGTCCAGATACTTGGGAGTTGTGGCTTCTGACCCAGAGAGCCCAACTCTTCACAACATAAGGGGCTGGAGTTATCTGTCCTAAGGCTGATGTGTGCTTGATCTCAGATGTTGTGACAGCCTGTGCTCCCCTTCTGCCATGTTGACTGGACTCCCTATACTTTGTCTCACTGCATTATATTTTTTCGCTGACACTGCCCCATTCTAATTTTAGAACTGTGTATAACATGCTGTGCTTCTTAATAACCCTGCAGGGCATAAGAAAGAGCTTATGCAAGAACTTGTGAACCCATTTTTTCTATCTTATTTGTTCTGATCCTATGGACCTAACTCTTAGGAGCCTGTCAGTGAAGAACAACCCTCTGGTTCAGGTCAAAGGAACATCCTAGAAGACATAATGGAAGAAGGGAAGAGCCAGAGCTAGAGCCAGAGAATGGAGAACACACAGTGAAAAAACTTCTGGAATTAAGTATGCCTCTGTGTTAATCTGTAAAATGACTCATGAGATTGATTCCATCAACATTTCATCATGGCTAAGAGAGGGGCCTCTGATGTCGGGAACTTAACTGCATGTCTATAGGCAGTTCATAGCAGACAGTAGAGGGGTGTCTCTTTCAGAGGTGGAGCCATTTAGGAGTTGCCCAGGATCCAATAAGTAACCACTCACACATGCTCAAATAGAAAAATTTAAACTCCGAGGATCCCATTCAAAGTAAAAAAAAATTAATAATAATAAAAATAAAAAACAGACATAAAAGGAGCAGGACTGATGATTTCATTTCTGCAACTGCCTTCTGCATTATCTACATAAAAACTATTAATTGAGTCAGGATCAGGACCACCATTTCTGCCCTCTCTAGACCAGGATCTCTCATGCTCCATAGAGTTGACACCCCAAACATTCACCCTTCCAATCACAGATGAGAGATTCTTTCACCTGTTTAATGCATTGGTCTCCACTTTTGTTCAGTAACCACTTGATTTCCTTTACAAGAAACATAATGAAATGAGAGATGAAATCAGACGCTCTAATCCTGACACTTGAGGCCCCTGTTACAGCTGGTCACTGAGCAACACCCATCATAGTCGGCACACGTTATGACTGATCGGGACACTAATCTCCTGTCTGAAACATCCATGCTACACATTGTTAGTTATGGACAAAACTCTTAACTAATGTGCAGCCATGTCTCCTCTCTGCTCAGAGTCCACACTCAAGGTCCTCTAGTAACTAATCTTTCAGACAAAGCAGCAGAAAGAACTCAAGAGACACAGTGTCGGAGGGAAACTAATTTCCTGCAGTCACCAGACAAGTCAGTGTACAGCTTCTTTAAAAATCAAACAAGCACCGGGCAGTGGTGGTGCATGCCTTTAATCCCAGCACTCGGGAGGCAGAGGCAGGCGGATCTCTCAGAGTTCGAGGCCAGCCTGGTCTATAAAGCGAGTTCCAGGAAAGGCGCAAAGCTACACAGAGAAACCCTGTCTCAAAAAAACCAAATCAAACAAGCAAAGAATTCACGTAAGTTTCAACCATCTCACACATGTGGTTCTGCATGAAATTACTTATTATCGTATATTCCTGCATTGTTGAATATATACTCACTGATTAACATGCATATAACAGCAACAGCAAACCAAAACAAATTACATACATGACATATGAACATTAACAGTACAATAGCATGTTCTCATTCAAACACAGGAACAAAATCAGCAAGAAGGTTTCTATTTTCTAAAGATTCTAAGCAATCTGTTTATGAACAAAGTAATACAAAATATATATGAAACTGAGAAAACACAGCATTCAAACCCTTCAAAAGATTAAACCAAGATTTTAAAATGAATTAAAATTATTTCAGTGGAAATCACTGAGAAACAACAGGAAAAATCAATTACAAGACAATATAGATAGTTTAATATTCTGCAGAGATACTAAGAAATTCTTATCAGAGTCCTGCTAGCATTTTATCAGGAAATGAGTAAACAGACCACAAAATGAACAGAATATGAAGGACCTACAGAAACCATCACAGTTAGGAAATCAGGAAACAAACTTTGAGGCAAAAATTGTCCTAATTTCACAGTATGCTTAAATGAAAGTAATGAAATTTGTATAATATTGATAAGAACACAAAAACATGACACAGATGAAATAAGGATATCATCATATGCACAGTCAGATACATTGTATTTTCTCCAAGTATTAATTATTACATAGAAAGTCAGTAATGTGTATAATAGGGTAATCATGAGATGATTTACAGTACAATATTCCAGAACCATTCCTATAGAAACATAATGTGGCAAAACATAGTTTGGTTCCTAGCACCCTCCTCATTAAAATACACAACAGATTTTAACTCCAGTTCCATGGGATCCAATGCTCAATTTTAAATTCTGTACCGGCAGGAGGTATACACAGCACATATGCATACATTCAAGCAGATACACTCCCCCACAAAAAAACAAATGTGAAATGTAATTTTAATAATAGATACTCTCTGCTGGATGGTGGTGGTGCATGTCTTTAATCCCAGCACTGAAGAGGCAGAGGAAGGCAGATGTCCATGAGTTTGAGGCCAGCCTGACCTATAGAAGGAGATCTAGGACAGTCTAAGGTATACAGAGAAACCTTGTGTCAAAAACAACAAAACAATAAAAGATACTTTCTAAAATAGTCATAGTCTGTATTGAAATTTCTATCTATGTAAATCAGAATGACATAATAGTCTCAGAGTCAACAAACGTTTAGGGAATATTGAGATATACATTTGAGGTCTAGATGTAGTTTAAGAACTATGTGTTGATATCAAATAGCACCCCAGTGTCATATCTCAGATGGTGATGTTATGATGAGCAAAACTTTGCTTCTAAATTCTACAACTGTCAGACTTGCTGCAGTACTGACACTGGATTAATCCTGTCTGCAGCTGCATCTCAACTGACTCTGTTCTAACATTCTCAAAAAGTAGAATTTGCAGTGTTACATACTGGCTCCATCCTGAAATTACACCAGAAATATAAACCTGGGGACTGGAGAGAGAGCTCAGGGGTAAAGGACACTTGTTCTTCATGAAGAGAAACAGTCCAATTCTCTCTAGACACAAGGCAACTTATGATTTTGCCTAATTCCTGTGCCAGGCATTTGGTGATTACCTCAGGGCTCCATGGGCATCGTGCACACATGCTGTTCACATAAAAACATGTAGATGAACACTCCTATACTTAATTTTTTTAAAAAAATTAAACAGAAGTCTATCTATCAAAACTTCTCTTCAGAATCTCTACCAACAAAAAAACATAGCTACAGGGTCAGGAAAAACATGGGGAAGGGGACCCTGGGTTCAATTGCCAATACTCACATAGTGGCTCACAAGTATCTATAACTACAATTCCAGGGGACCCAAAACCCTTACACAGGCATAGACACAGGCAAATACCAATGTACATAAAAATAAAAATAAGTAAATACTGTAAAACAAAAAAGAAAACTCAGGATACATTCTAGGCAAGCGCTCTACCACTAAGCTAAATCCCCAACCCAAAAGGAAATTTTTTTGTTGTTGTTACTGTTTTGAGACAGGGTTTCTCTGTGTAGCTTTGGAGCCTGTCCTGAAGCTTGCTCTGTAGACCAGGCTGGCCTTGAACTCACAGAGACCTGACTACCTCTGCCTCCCAGTGCTGGGATTAAAGGCTTGCGCCACCACCACCCAGCTTCAATGATTTCTTATTAAAGAACTTTAGGGTAAATATGGGAGAACAGATGGCCCTTATCACTACCTTAATTCTCAGTAGATCTTACCCAGTCACAGGCCAGAGGCATTCTATGTTTCTTCCCCATGATTTCATCAGAATTGCTCTACTTTTTCCATAATTGTGGAATAAGAGGCTCAAATTTCGTAAATGATCAAATATGAACAAAAATCAAGAGAATTTTCAAAGATGAAGATAAATAAAAAGAACTTAAAAAGATCTCCAAAACCAAATACAGGTATTTATAAATTCCTTGAGGAATTTAGAAGATACTCAATGAACTAAGGAAGAAAAATAACAAGTAAATGAGGTGAGGAAATTCACAGTATAAAAGGAGCATTAAAGCAATACAAAGACAGTCTGGCTCTAGTGGTGCACACCCTAATACCAGCACTGAGAGGCAGAGGCAGGCAGATCCCTGTGAGTTCAAAGCCAGCCCAGTCTACAGGGTGAGTCACAGGACAGCCAAGACTACACAAAAACTCTTATCTTGAAAAACCAAAATAAAATAGCCTTTAAAAAAAAAAGAAAGAAAAAGCAATACAGGGCTGGAGAGATGGCTCAGTGGTTAAGACCACCGACTGCTCTTCCAGAGGTCCTGAGTTCAATTCCCAGCACCCACATGGTGACTTACAACCACTTGTAATGAGATATGGTACTCTCTTCTGACCTGCAGGGACACATGCAGGCAGAATACTGTATAATAAATAAATAAATAAATCTTTTTTTTTTTTTTAAAAAAAGCAATACAAAGACAACAAAATGTATCTCTGAAAGCTACAATACAAGGAAATAGGAGAGAAATCCTCAACTTTGAGGAAGGAAAGAAACATCACTCAACATCTCCACTAATCCTTCCAGCAGAAACCAGAGGACACATGGACAATTCATTCTCCCCCCCCCCCCGACAAAAAGGGGGGACCTGATGAGCAGCAATAGAAAGGGGATATGTCCTCTCTGAAGGTGGTTCCAAGAGAAGGTCAAAGAAACTGACAGCGGCAACATGGAATATGACAGCAGCGTAAAGATGAAAGTGAAATACAGCAACATCAAAAGCTCCAGTGAACTTGTGTTCATGAACTATTTGGAGTGCAAACATGACCTTTCTCATCATAACAGAACCTGCTCAAAAGCAATGATAACGAAGGTCACAGGCACTAGGCAGGCATCCGCTACTGATATTGGCTATATGTACAAATACTCAACCTGCCTTTAAATGGCTCAGTTCACTCTCATATCCAGGGTGCTGCTTTCAGCCTGGGTCAAAGAAACTTTGTTTTCAATGTCAGAGACTCACAACTTTTCAAATACTGAGAACAATTGACTGCTTAATACACAGTCAATAATGGGAAATCCGTATTACAACATCAAGTATTTTTTTCAGTGAAATTTTCTATAATCATTAATGAAACAGAATCTGCTAAAAACCAGTTTCACGTCCTGTTCCTACCATCATTTGACACTTACCCAACCCCTTACTCATTCCTTGTAACACACCTGGATCCTTTGCTACTGCCTCCTCTCTCTTCACCATGCAGGGCTCTTTATTCTGATTCACAGGTGAGCAGGACTCACTGAGCAATGTGAGACTTGCATATGGGGAAGGGAATCTTCAGAAAGCACCTGAAACTTTCCATGGAACAAAAACGAAAGAAGAAAACACCTGCCAAAGGATAAACATGAAGGAGAGAGAAAATATCATGAAAAACGTCTCTTTATCTCTGAGGATCTCACTTTATGGGATGTGAAACCTCATTCACACACACCTCACACACATGCAGAGTGGTCTGTCCAAGAACCCTGAGAAAGAGCAAGGGAGACTGCAAGAAAATTATTCTGACCCTCAGAACCAGACTGCTGCACTTCTCCAAGATGAGATCTCTGAAAAAAAGCCCTGAGAGCAGGGTCTAGGCATTCCCACTCCTCCTACAAGAAGTCCACAGTCACAGCACTGAATGTCAACAAACCATGAAATAAAAAACAACAGTTTTGCCACATGAGCAAGGGCAGAGTGCATTTCTTGAACAAGGAGACATTTTTCTGATGTAGGTGTCCGATCATAAATAATCAAAAGTCGCTTTCTAGTTTTGTATGGCCTGATAATGTCTTTTCCCAGCATGTATACGGGGCTTGCCTGGACCTTATCAGAGGGCAAAAAACTCAGAACAAATGGCTAACTGAAGTGCCCATTAACATATCAAGCGGACATTTTTGCCAGGGGCTCTCTTGGCCTCTAGTCTCCAGGTTCCTTGGCTTCTCTCCTGTCTTCCCTTCATTTCTCTCTCTCCTCTTCTGTCCCTGCTCATGGACCAGTTCATTCTGGGCCCTTCCAGATGCCTCTGGCTATTTTCTCCCTCATACCTACAATAAACCTCCTCAAGCACATTTAAAAGTAGTCGTGTCCTCATTTATCATTCAGACCTAAGGTGTAATATCAACAACTAAGCATATGAAGACATTTCTTACAGAGTGCATACATCTCAGGTGAAAAATTAATAGGGAGTAAAACTTTGCTCAGTAAGTGTTACTATTTACAATCATAACTGTGGTGCTTTATAACGCATATTTTCTGATTCAATCAAATCTACAAAGGTTCTTCATGTGACTAAAATCTACAAAAGCTCTCTGGGGGAAGCCTATTCCTCGGGTCAAAGGCCACTCTATTGGATAGGGAAGTAGTGGACCGGGGAGATAAGAAACCATGGATTTATTTCAAATCTAGCTTTGTAACTGGTACAGTATCAAAGAAAACCCGTTTGCAAACTACAGACACTGCGACGAGATTGTTTCGTGAAAACATTCTGGCAACCAAAAAAGAAAAAATCACGATACACCCCACTTCATAGGATCTCGACCTTACCGACAACGGAAAGACATCCACAGCAGAATTTCGGAGCCGACTTCCTTATGAACAGCAGAGAAACTGCTCGCACCCGGGTCCCTCCCCTCCCGTGTCCCAGCCCCGCAGCTCCTCTGACCTGGGAGGTTCCAGGGCCGCCGGGCTGCGGTTCCCGCCACTGCGCTGCTGACTGGTGACTTTCCCAGGCCGCCCCGCGCGGAGACTGCGGCTCCGGGGAGGTTTCGTGTCCCCGCGACACCCCGCCGTGTCCTCCTCAACCAGTCCCGGAGGACGCTTCTCCGGGAGGCCAACACGTAAGGGTGAAATTTCCTGTCCTTTCAGCCTGGTTCCCTGAAGCGGCTGCGCCTGGCCCCGCCCAATACATCGCTGCTTCCGGTTACGTGATTCTTTCCAAACACCAACCTCTGACTCTTTTTCTTTGTTATCGAAGTGCACCCCGCTGTTTCTTTTTTCCGAAAGGCCAATGATCAGGCAGGTGCCCCGGCCCATTGGGGACCCGCCCCTCCCACTTGGTCTCAGGCCGCCTTCCACACAGCTCCAGCTGTCAGGCTGCCCTGGACCTGCTCTGCACAGCCTCCCCACATGCTTGCTGCCAGCCTAGACCAGAACTGCATCTAGGAGGACGCTGCATCCGGGATTCTGACCCTGTGCTCTGACCCCATCAGGTAAAAGTTATCCCGCCTAAGTTTTCATCTTGGGATACCAGCTTCCTGGGTTAAAATGCACAGCAAAAGAAAACAAACGCCCCAAATTCTGATGCTCAAGTCCCATTCCCAAAACAAATTAAAACTAAAATAAAACGCCCTAGGCTCAAAATACAAACCATATCTGTATCCCCTAAGGAAAGAAGTTAAATGATATCCAATATACAGAACTCCAAAATTGTCAAAACATGTAAAGCATGTGAATCAACTCAAAAAAGATTGGGAAAAAAATTATCTGTGGGCAAGAAAACACTAGCAAATGCCTGAAGGATGTGAAGACATTGTAGGATATGAAAATTAAATTCAGTAAGTACTTAGAAACACCAAAAAAAATCCAAACTGAAATGAAACTGTAGCGCCCGTGCTACTACCCATTCATCATGTCCCACCAAGGGGCTGAGGACTAAAACACAGACAAGACAGCTGGTCATTCTTCTCCTTAGAATGCCCTTTATTGAAGGAGGGAAGAGGCCTTAAATACAGACTTACAGCACAGTGGGAGAACCTGGAGGGCAGAAGTTCTCTATAGATATTTTACATTCTTGCATCCTAACTGTTTACACCAAAATGCAGGATACACAAACGAGGAACCTACCTTAAACTGTTTAGGAGGAAGGAAACCAGCAGGGAATTAGCATAGGGAGGATATCCCATCAAGGTCAGCTAGCAAGGCAACAGCCACTCAAGGAAGGGGTGGGGGGTCAGGGCCCAACATGAAACAAGAAATAAAAAATGAAAAAATCCGAATAATAATAACTCACCTAGATCAGTGAGGTAGGAGACAGAATATCAGGCCTGAAGACAAGGCAGAGGAGCTGGATGGCTCAGAGGAAATAAAGAATTAAAATAAAAATGCTCCATGCAAGTATTACTAGTTAAAGTTAAAAGAGAAGTTCTATCTGTATATTCTACACTTATTTGAAATATTCTAAATTTTTGAAACAGTAACTCATTCTGGAGAGCTTTCCCGGGAAGCTGGATTATCATTTCCATCACTATACAAATGAAGTGACACTAAAAAGCCATCTTAATCTGTGAGACCAAAATGAGCCATCTTAGAAATAAGACCAAAATGCTTTCACCCTAAAATTTAGGCCTAAGATTTCTCCTTTTGGGAATAGGCCATCAGTTACTAAAACCAGTCAGTTCAGATTCCAGAAACTAGGAAGTGTAAAAGTACAGAGTCACAAGATAGTCACGAGGTAATGCCTGCCGGACTATGGAATGTCCTCTCCCTGGTTTCCAGGGTAACTGACCACAGAAATGCCCCCACCTGAGGGCAGCCAATGAGAAATGGTGACTGGCAACCACTCCCTAAGAAGTAAGATTAGCCCGGCGGTGGTGGCGCACGCCTTTAATCCCAGCACTCGGGAGGCAGAGCCAGGCTGATCTCTATGAGTTCGAGGCCAGCCTGGGCTACCAAGTGAGTTCCAGGAAAGGCGCAAAGCTACACAGAGAAACCCTGTCTCGAAAAACCAAAAAAAAAAAAAAAAAGAAGTAAGATTAAGCCATGATTTCTAGAAAGTCCCTAGAAGCGAGCCAATCAGAATTGTACCCATACTAGCACCCCTAAACGATGTAACGTTATGATTTTTCCCTTTAAAAACTGAGCTTGCAGACAGGTGGGCACTTCCTCCAGCCTCCACTGTGTTGGATGTATTGGACGAAGTCCCTGCCTAGGCTTGTATTGCTTTTGGATATCCAGAATTAAACCTTGCTTTTGCATTCCGGCATGCTAGTCTTTGGTGGTCTCTCTGGGGGTCTCGATCTGGGCACAACAAATCCCTCACAGAACTCCACTACTGCCACTCAAATATCCAGAATTACACTATTAGCAGTGTTGACTTGGGGGAAGACAATTCAGTAACTCCGGGTTTAGAAAGGAAATGGGGCCGAGTGGTGGTGGCGCATGCCTTTAATCCCGGCACTGGGAGGCAGAGCCAGGCAGATCTTTGTGAGTTCGAGGCCAGCCTGGTCTACAGAACGAGATCCAGGACAGGTGCAAAGCTACACAGAGAAACCCTGTCTTGAAAAAAAAAAAAGAAAGAAAGAAAGAGAGAAAAGAAAGGAAATAGGTATCTCAGGAAGTCAGTGGTCAGTCAGACCATTAACAGCCCAGGGCTGAAGTCATGCTGTGCTGTGAGATGGAGATGTTGTGCTTGTGCTAACACGGAAACAAGTTGGTCTTCTGGGAAGGATACTGAAGATGCTTTTATGGAAAACACAGAAAATTCCTTTTGAAAACTCAGGGGTGAATGTAGAAGCTTGTGCCTGTTCAAGATGCATAAAATAAGCCATTGAAATGGGCACAGCCTTAAACAGCTCAGTTACACTATCCCATCAATGCTCTGGGCATACTGAGGAAGGGGCAGTGGGAAGGAAATAAGAAAACATACATGAGCCCGGCCAGGACATGTCATACTCTAGACTCCACACAGCTGTTGTAATCAGTAACCCACAGCAACTATACTCACCTGCACTGGGCTCAGTCAAGGCCAGCCCTGGACACAATCAGTCTAGGAAGGGCAGAGGCTCACAGGGCCCGACCCTTGTGCTCTCAACTGTGGCTATGGAGAGATTTTAGGAGAAGGGGAATCACTGCTGCAGGCCGCAGAAATATATCATAAGAACTCAGCCAGTTATGGCAATGTCACTACCTGAAAAGACCAAGGAATTCCTTCAGAGGAAGCCAAATTCAAATTCCAAGGGGCTTTTTCGTGTTACTTGGCTTTTATAGATCAGCTGTATTCTGCTATGAAAATCATGTGTGCCTTCATAGTTTTCCCACTTGATTTTTCCCTAAGAAGGCCTAACAATGTGGACTGATCACTCTCTGGACATACACATTCAAGGTATTTGGAGAACAACCTCAGGAAAGGCTTTCAAGGACTAACAGTAACAACAGTCCACATGCTAGTCTCCTGATTTAAGGTAAATTCCACAAGGAGACACTGCTTTACACAATTTAGCTCGGATCCTCCTTTCTTACAGCCTTACTAACTTTATAGACCTCTAACACCTTACCTAACCACTTCTAAGAATATTTTGATAACCTTCTGCACTGACAGCTATGCTCAGTCAGCACCCCAGTTCAAGCCTCCCTGTAATTATCATCATTGGCAGCATCCGGCCAGGTCCATCCCCAGATGGAGCAAAGTACCTTATCAGAGATACCTCTGTACTCTCTAAGAACAGACTTAACATCCAGACTACCCGTTTGAGAAGGCCTGGCAGATGTGCCAATTAAGCTTAACTTCCTCCTTTCCCAAATCTTAACCCTATTTCCAGATCTCCCTTTAACTTTCACCAGAGGCATCTAGCTGTACACAGGTTGCCTAGCGACCGAGCACACTTTTCCGGACCCTGCAGAATAACAGCAGATACCTTGGACAGATAGGAGCCACAGGAAAAAAGAAGGCGGTTTTATTTTCTCCCATTGACCTAGCAACTTATAGATTCTTAACATTTTCTACTAATCACGTTTAAGACCGTAGTTGAGCACATAAGATCCCTCTTCTTAGATATTACTCAAATTTAGCCTTTAGTTAATTCATTTCCCCATTGGTCACTTCCCTTTGGGGTTGCAAATTATAATTAACAATTACTGCCCCTCTATGTGATTCTTATCACCCTTCCTTTTGACCCCGGAAGCCTGGCTTTGCACTGCCAAGGGATTACTGCTTGTAAGTGTATATATACCTCGACTTCCAGGGCACAGGAAGAAGAAGAAGATTGGGAAGAGTAAATGACTAGACTAAGAGTTTCGTATTCTGAGATTCTATTTCCAAAAATAGTCCTCACCATTTGTGGTTCTCTCTCCTGAGTGCCTGAGATGTATAATATTAAGGCTGGTCCCTCTAATATTATACAAGAATTATCTTTACTTGTGATTCTTCTACTAAGTCTAACAGTGTGTAACAGTGTCTGTTTTCTCACATTCACATCAGAATTTGTTATTTATCCTGGCAATGGTCATTCTAACAGGGTGAGATGGAATCTTTAAGATTTAGTCTGCATCTACCTGATAGCTATGTATACAGAAGTCTTTGTCAACATGACTTGAGGAGTACCCAAGCTAACTGCACAGCCTAATCAGGAGACATGAGTGTACAAACATACCTGATACCTATTGACTTTAAAGCCTTCATGGAACTAAATTAGGAAAAGCTAAAAGAAATGATCAAGGGTTGGGGATTTAGCTCACTGGTAGAGGGCTTGCTGCTTGGACCTCATCCACAGGTGTGTGTGTGTTGGAAGTGATCAAATATTCTGATTTATACCACACACCAAAATTACACCAACATGAACTAACTCAACAGGTTTATAAGCAGCAACAACAATGAAGCAGAAATAAATGCACCATGATGAAAAAGAAAACCCTAGGGGCAGATTGGATCCTCACAGAATTATGTTAAAATATCAGAGGATAACTGATACTGAAGCTACTTAAAGCATTCCTTGATGTAAAATGGAGGCAAGGATTCCAGATTCATTATGAAGTTAAAATTAGCTGATAACAGCCAGGT